TGTAAAGGTGTTAGAGTTTTTTCTTGGATGATTCTCATACAATTAGAACCAACTTATTTTAAATACTACTAGAAAAGTGATATGAAATCAAAACTAATCCATAACATTAATTTTCTATTTCAACAAAACTTTGAAGAATATACTTATAATACCAAAAATTTTACAAAATAATATGCAAGTCTCATCATTACTTTGTGAATTTTTTTGTCTATGCAAAATTAAATAATACAAGAGAATAATAAAATTGATTAATACAATAGTACAGTGATTCTTTGGGACTTAAATTTAGTGAGTCAAATACCTTTTTCTGTTGAAGGTACGGGTCAGGAAAATCAAACTCATTGAGACAATGTTCCCTCATGTCCAATAAGCTCCTCACAGTCAGGTTACCATATGCACTATGAGAGAATGAAAAAATTGGCAAAGGTGTTTGTCTGATACTGTCTGATAGCTATGCATACGGCATAAATATAGTATACTCATTAAATTTACAAAAGTTAAACTGCAAAGAACATACCAATTTTCTAAAGTTTACTCACAATGGATGGTTCTTTAGATTGTGAAGCCTTTGCAAATACTTTTCACGAAATCTGTTGGCTCTCTCCACAGCATCTATGCTATTTGGCTGGGATGAGACAGCCCGGCTGACAAAGCTACCAAGTGAACCTTCAAAGCATGACAGCCAGTAGTCTCTGTTAATATGTAGAAACATATGTTGAAACTTATTAAGTTATAATTCCAATAAAATATAAGGTAATCAAGTGAAAATATTATGCATTACTAAATACTTAAGTCTGTCATTTAATCAGATATTTCCTTTTCAGAAACAAATATACCTTGCTTCTTTATCCTTGGTAAGGTCTACAGTATCAGGTACATATTCTTCTGGATGAGCAAGTAAGGGGAAGAATGTTAGCTGCTGATCACAACGATCAATCTCTAGCTGATCAATGGTTCCACCAGGCCAGCCTCCAACAGGAGGATGAGGTAATGGAGACTGAAGCCCTGAAGAGCCAGCATAGTTCTCACCCCAGGAATACTTCTCAGAATCTGTACAAAATTACAATAGCAATGAAGATACTTCATGCATAAGATCATAATACTTATAAAGAACTCAAAGAGTGAACTTTAACTTATGGCAAGATTTTGAAAAATTCCCAACGTATTGATATGCACAGTGTTTCAGTAGCATAGGGGCTCAGGTGAAAAAAGGGCATTATCTAATATCTATTTTGAAGAAATACAAAATCCTATATATGCTTTACGCATGTGTACACACATGGAAAATTGGTAAAACTGGGAGACTATATTCTTGAATTATATCAAATCCATCTCAATGCTTTAGATATAGTGGGATTCTAGAATAGGGTCACTGATTTGCCTAAAGGGCATTTCTATCACCCATATCATAATCAAAAGGACACTTCTGATATGAAGAAGAACCAAAAGCCTCTCCTCCCTCTGTGCACATCCCTAAACTAATGTTTCAAGGAACATAAACTTCTAAGGTAAATATTTCTGTACTTGGGATAGTAAATTACAAACATGCATGCTTGCACTCTTAACTCATAGATAATCAATACAATCTCATGTAATGACATTACATAAATACACACAGCAAATCTTAACATACAGCACTTACTTAACCTGTAATCATTTACTGTAATCAAATTTCTTGAAAACGTCTTAAAAGCTCTTCAGTGCATTTCATTCTATAAGAAAGAGCCCAGCAAAAGTAAAATACTTTTCTGAGATACAAATAACAGTAGTCTGTGTTTCTGCCTTCAAATATTCTTTTTATCTTCATTTAATTTCCCCTCTACTATTTCTTATCACAAAAAAACATCTGTAAATAAAGATAGTTTGTTTGATTTTTTTTGTTGCCATTTCACACATGAGAATAGTTAGTAATTTCATGCAGTCCATACAAACAGTCCATGCAAAAAATAAATAAAATAAAACAAAATGAAATAATACAAAACAAAATACAAGAAAATAAAAGATCAACCAGAAATTGTTAAATTGCAAATCATCAACTTTCCTCTTTGGATAAGAAAATATTTGACATAATAACTTTATATCATAATACTTTACTAAATAAGAAAGTTGGGTTACATACCACACTCTTCAGCCCCTCGTAAAAATGCACCTATAGCCCCTAGGTATCCTTCATGTCGTAAGAACAGTGCCTGCACTGCTCCTCGACTCCAGTAATTTATGGCAAAGCTGATGGTGTGCATACTGAGTGGGTGATTACGAAGAAAGTATCCACCAAAATAAACCTGCAAATAATATGATAAAAAATCATAAATAAAATCATATGTATGATATATTTCCTTTTGTAGCAATTACACTACAATTGTATCTGTATTATAAATCATCAAAATAAGACTATAAAGTGCACAGCCTTCTTTCTAAGCACACAGTAAAACCTTATTTTTCCAATCCATGTGAATCTAAACTAAAGGCCCATGAAGTGACACTTTTAAATTCATTTTAC